TTTCTCACAGGCAGTAAGTGATCCTTACCTCCTTGCTCTTTTTGTAGCGCGAGATGTCGTCAGAGGAGCCTCCAGAAGTCAACGGGGGACAGAAGGCGGACGGGTCTCCTCGTAAATCTCCCAAAAAGATGACCGTCTATCCTTCCACCAGTGAAGATATACCTCTTAAAGAGATAAGGACGGAGCCGTCCAAGACTGTACGTGTCTCTGAATCTTACGAAGATGCTATTGAGAAGCCATCAGTAACCATCAAGAAGTGAGTTTTGTCAAAATCATGTAGAGTGGAGAACCAGCACGTGTAGCTAAACAGCTCATACTATCTATGGACTTTAATGTCTGCTAAAAGCCATAAGAAGTGCATATATATATATATATTGCAAAGCAAATTCAATTTTGTCAATGTTGGTGTAATAAGTATGTAGGTGTAATAAGTATGTAGGTGAAATTCCTAACTGTCTGATTCATGGCTAGTGTTAGTTATGTTTTTCATTGTTGGCTATTGTTGACAAATCTTAGGGAGCTGTTTTGTTTTCTAACCATAAACACGTTATACAAAATCAAATCAAGCCATTTAAATATAGCGTCATTGGTGTTATTTTAAAATCCTCCCCACTGACACATGAAGTGATATTATACTGATAGTACAGATATTCAATTACAGCATTGAGTATTGTTACTTCAGTAATGATTATAGTTAGTTTGTTAATAATGCAAAAGGAGGGATGGTTTGTTTTACATGCACTTTTTGTCTTCTTTACTTGCACAATGTAATATCTGTGTGTCCATACAGGAAGAAGAGTGCTTGGAAGTTTTGGGAGAAAGACGAAGAAGATGAAGTGGATCCAAACAAACCGAAACCTGTCCCAGTTTATAAGTTGGTAAGCAGTGAGTACTTGTACACTGTGCATTATACGCATGCACTGTAATTCATAATCAAGAGTAGATCGTAAAATCTCTCTTTTTTATCTCGTAGTTTCGTTTTGCCACTAAGTTTGACTTGGTACTCATTTTTGTGAGCTTCTTCTTTGCTATACTTCATGGGACTGCCCTTCCAGGTGCTATGTATGTCTTTGGAGATTTCATCAACTTCTTTGCCTATCATGACGCCTCTAGGACCGTGTTTGAGAACATTCGTGTTGCCTATTATGGGACATACAATGGCTATTCATTTGATCAGAATCTTAATCTTAGTCTCTCTGAAGCTATAGAGAATATGACAGTTACCCCAGGTTTAGTTATGAACCAGGCATTGCTGATGGAGTTCAATAATGCAAGTGGATTTGGAGCTGGTCTGTCAGATTCGATACTCACTGGTCTCAGTTGTGTTATAGTTTCTTATGCTAATGACAGTATTGATGACCTTGATTCTCCATTTGAAGTCCTCCAGAGGCTAGCAACTGATAATGATTACATGCTTCAAGTGACAAGCAATGCTTGTTCACATTGTCTTAGAGCCCAGTTTGAAGATTTCAATGACGAAGCACGCTGTCTCTCTAATGATGTTTTTTTCAATGGAGATGGAAGTGTTGGAGATGGCGTATTCTGGCAGTTATATTTATATGGTATGATAACAGTTGCTACCTTTATACTGGCCTTTCTTCAAATCTCTACAATGCAACTGGCCTGTGAGAGACAAGTGTATAAGATTAGGTTAGCTTACTATCGTGCTGTTCTTCACCAGGACATTGGATGGTTTGATCTTAATGCCAGTGGGGAATTAACTTCAAGACTTAATGAGTGAGTACAATGTAGAACTGCCAGTAGTAGATGTGTATAGTACTACCACATAGTACATGTACACCATGTCACCTCTGGTCTTACTCTTTTCTGCCCAGGGGGCAATTATAAAATACTAATACATTGTTTATGTTAAGTGATATAAACATAAATATTTGTTGTGTCAAGTTTGACAGTAATTTATTGGCT